AGATCTATGTTTCCTCTGAAACAGTCTTGAGAATCTTCGTGACTGATTCTTCAAAAATCATGTTTTCAGAATCTTCAGAGTCTTGATCTTCAGAACACGTCTTTAGAGTCTTTCTGCACTTGGTCTTCAGAGCCTTCAACCTTCAGAACTTCAAGTCATCAGAGTCTTCAGCACTTAGTTCTTCAAAGGACTCACTCTATAGAGACGATTGTTAGCTTCCAGATCAGATGCACTTCTCATAACAGAATCCACAGGAGCATTGCAACTGCAATATCCAGCATCCTTGGATCTTTCTGATCGTGACCAGATACATAAGCAAACTAGCTTCTCCCATAAGCGCTTTATGATACGTCACACATAGTAACTCTCATATTGTATTAGATGCACACGTTGATGCTGTTTGTTTGATCTTATATATTTAATTATCATGATCTGCACATAACAAACATTAGAACTTAAAATGGTTCTTTCACAAATACTTAATTGTTATCATCAAAACATAGAGATAATCCTGTAGAGACAAATCTTGCTCTTACAGTAATGATATACATTTCGATTTCTAAGAAATTTCCATTGTTGAAGGTTACTAATGTACTTTTATATAAGTCGACTTAATCTCTGTAACCAGGGTTCACATTTTTCATTATTGTCCTCTATTGAATTCAAACATCCAAGTTATAGAGACAGTGAATTTGTAAGAAAACCTATGAATTTGTGTCCCATTTTTTATTCAAGCATTATATTTGATTGATTTTACCATTTACTTTCATTTACTTTATTATTTAAGCAATTCTTCACATTTGAAGTTTCTATCTAATTATCCCACATTCAAACGTTTAATTTCCAAGCATGAGCACATTTTCTTAAACAAATTTTCGCAATATGTCCTAGGATCTTTTCGAGTTTAATCCTATAAGTGAATTAAAACTTGTGATTTATTTATCAAAAACAACAGTAAACAAAAATGTAAGGGAAAATAGTGAACCCCACAAAGCAAATAATATATTGAAGTTATCCTTAGAAGTGGCCAAGATTTTAACTTGACTAAATAAACTAAAATAGTAAATAAAACTACGCTAAACATAGCTTGACACTTAAATAATTAAAAGCTTTGAACAAAGTTCTTTTCCCCCCGATTTCATGCTTTCCTAGAAAGAAGTTACTAGGCCTCAATCTTTTGAGGCTTATTCTTGTGGCTTAGCCCCTAACTTTTTGCCTATAGTGATCGCACTTACGATCATAATATTTTTCAACTTTAATTTCTCCATGTAGCACTTGTTGGCGATATCCTGATCCCCCTAGATGAACCTGACTCTCCCATCTGAGAGTGGGTACTTCATGCATAACTATAACGTAGATAAGATGACTCTCAACTGGTTGAAAGTGGGCCACCATATAATCATGTTATATGAGGATTGTGCATATATATGACAAAATACCTTACTCTAATCTACCTGATGTTTTCTTTTTCTCCAAAGATGGTCTTCAATGGTATATGACCATTCACCTGCACTTTCTCGCTCGAAAATCCCACCAATGATCTTTGGAAGGCTTTGAGGTAGTCTAAGTCCAAGCGAAGCCTCTAAAAAGCATCCCAGTAGAGGATATCTACAAAGTTTCCTTGATTAATTAGTATCCTCTTAATCTTTCAATCGTTAGATCTCACGTTGATGAGCATGGGATTATCATTATGTGGGTGAGTTTCTACAGAGTCCTTCTTAGAAAAAGCGATTTCAACTTCTAGGACTTCTAGCTCGTGTAAATCAGAGTCGTTGGGCAACCTTCGATGGGTAGTATCTGGCAAGTGTATCTTCTACATACAGTCTCTCGGCCTCTGGTGAATCCTATGGTCTCTCTCTTTATTGGTTCTTTTCCCTTCTTGGACCCGAGACTCCTCGAGGAATCTCGCCCATAAGAGTTAGATCTTCCTGACCTTTGAGAGGAGTTTCCATTGACATACTTCTTTAGGTGGACCTCTTGGATCATACATTTTATCTCCTTCTTGAGTCAACAACAATCCTCAATATGATGCCCCTTTGATTTTTGGAACTTACACCATTTTCTAGGCTTAGGTCCCATGACATATAACTATGCAGTTGGCGGTTGTGGGGATGTCATGCATGTGGATGACTTCTCAACGTATCTACTCGACGAGTGTTTAGAGGCGTGAAGTTTTTTATGGATTTTCCGTTTCGTTTGAATGTTGTCGTGTCTCTGATGGATGAAGTGTAGTGACTCCTTCACATATGATGTGAGCTGCCAGTATTAGAAGTACGCTCCTTAGCATCTTTGGAATTTTTCATCATTTCTTTCCTCGCCCTATGTATAAAATTTGACATGCGTCACCACCTCAGCCAAGGTAGACACGGGCCTTTGTGAAAGGGTTTCATTAAAATGCCCTCTTGAGGCTATTTTGAAATGCTTCCACCAACATCTACTTGTTGGGGTGGACGACCTTAATGGTCGCCTCATTTAAACTAGAGCGGTACTCCCTCAAAGGTTCAAAGGGGCCTTGACGAATTTTGAAGAGGCTGGTGGCGACCAACTTTTTTGTGTCTGCTTGCTGCAAACTGGTAGACTAGTTTTTTCACCATTGTGATAGTTTGTGATGGAGAGTCGAGGCAGGCCCATATACCACCTCAAGTATGCATCTTTGAAAGTTTCATAGAGGATCTTGCATTTCAAGGAGTCAGAAGCTCTAATGATTGCCATCTGCGTGTTAATGAAGGCGACGTGTTCATACGGTTCGCTGCACCCATCAAACTTATCCAACGAAGGTGTCTTAAACTCTCTAGAACGAGCGCTTCTTATATCTCATTTGAGAGAGTAAAGGGATATAATATATCCACCTCTTATGTAGGGTCAACCTCCTGCTGACCTTGTTAGATATGGAGGATGATATCCTTCAAAGTTTGGTTATAGCGATATAGGTCGTCCATGGAAGCATGCATCTCTGCAATGATACTTTTTTCACCGTCAAATTATTCGCTGGCCAGAGTTGTTATATTTTTGTTCATCTGTTGGACAAAGAGATTGAACATGAAAGTGAACTAAATCTGAGAAATAAAAAATTAGTCAATAGTCCTTTCACATCAACTTTTATTAAAGGAAAATATTAAAAAGATCATTATTTAATTTTTTTATTAAAAGACTAAAATTAAATTATAAAATATTTAGAAGGACTCTGGATATATTTAACTTTAGCACTTTAGTAATTCCTTCGTTTCAAAATAATTGTCATTTTAGGGGAGAAAATTGTTTCAAAATGAATGTCATTCTCACTTTTCAATGCAATAATAATTATTATTTTTCTAATTGTGTCGTATAATTATTACTCAATACACTATTAATGTGTTGAAAATAGTGTACTGAATAATAATTATATAACACAATTAGAAAAATAATAATTATTACTGCATTGAAAAGTGAAAATAACATTTATTTTAAAACACGAGATGGAAATAATAAGTTACTCTCTCCATTTTGAAATGACTATCGTTTAAGGTTTTTTCACATCAATTAAAGAATGTAATGACATTGTCATAAAATATTATACTTAATGAAATAAAACTAATTTAATAAAATATAATATTTTATGACAATGTCATTAAATTTTTTAATCTATATGCAAAAACTTTAAACAAAAATTATTTTGAAATGAAGAGAGTAACTTGTTTTTCCCATCTCCTAGGATAGGTTGCAACGTATCGATCTAACAGTGTCACAGCACTAAACCAACTACAGAAAACGACATGAACACAAAGCTCAATCCAATTACATTCGTACACATATATGCTTGACTTGTTTATACATCATGATTAACATATACACTACGTGAAGTGCAAATGTGTTAAAGCATCCATAATCTTGTTGTTTAAATGAGCACTTTATCATAGATTTTTATGTAAAAAAAAAAGAGCACTTTTCATTAAGAATTATTTTTTAGAAATTCTTTCCTAAAAAATTTTGTTGTGTATTACTATATTTTAGGTAAAATTAATCTACTTTCTAATAAAAAGATAAAATTAATTTAAATTTTAAAAATTTTTAAAATAAATTGTTATACAATATAACAAAATATTAAATAATTAATTAATAAATGTATGACTAAACCAAATTCTTTTTCATAGGAATAATAAATAAAAATGTTAAATAATTAGATAATAAATATCGTAAGGTTTTTTTGTCTAATAAAGTTTTACTTCTTAAAATAAATAAATGGATGTTCCAAGGACCGTTCCACTTAAAATGATAAATATTCATATATGATTATCAATTGAATTCGTTTAACGATTACTCTAAATATTTTTTAATGGTATTTAAATAGTTAAAATGTTTTAAATAATATTAGTTAGTACTTTTTTCTAGAAAAAAATTATTGAAGTTAATAAATTTTAAATTACTTATTATTTTCTTAATATACATTTTACTTAATTTAAAAAAATTAAACTTAACAATATTGATATAACATTATAAACTAACTAACTTTGTTAATTAGAGTGAAATCAACTATTTGTGTTATAAGTTGAGGGCTATAATTTCTCTAATCTCAAATATACCTATATGGTTAAAATTTATCCAATATCTAATATATTTGATCGTAAGTATAAATAATAGACTAAATACACAAATTATTTAATAAACTTTAAAAAAAAATTATTTACAATATTGACATTGTAGCATTAAAATTGATTATCTCATCCACAGGCAAGGGACTGATCCCCTTAATCAACTCCCAAATTCCCAATGGACACCCTTCACCAAATTCCAAACTTATTATGGAAAGAAAGACACGAATTTTAATCATTCTTGTTGGCTACTCAACTCATACATTATATTTGTCTCTAAACTCATAATTGCATAAGTGTTGAATCATAAAAAGTTAAGAAATGAGTTACTATTAAACATGCACACATCATTTCAAAGTAAATAAATCTACAAAATCTAAATCCATTTAAATATATCCAGAAAAAAATAAAATGAAGGAAATAAATAAACAATTACAATTTGTGAGGAGTTGGTGGTAATTTCTTACGAAACGCAACTTCAGTGTCCAATCCAAAACCATCAACTTTAACAACATGAACCAAAACAGAATTCTTGAAAAGCTCAACGAGAGGCTCAACACTGTAAAGATCATTGGCGGAGTATTTATCAGCGCGACGCAATAACGCCACGTGTAAGACGCAAACGCCGTTAGGCTTCAACGTCCGTTCGATCTCAGCAACGAATTTCTGCGGGTAAAGCGCATGATCGAAGACGTTAGAGAATTCGAAATCGAACGTGTCGTTATCGAACGGTTGGTTATGGAAATCGCCTTTCACGACCAACGGTGGATAGGGAACGAGGTCCATTCCGATGGAATCGACGACGCCGATTCTTCGTAGAGCTTCAACCTCTTGGCCGACGCGTGCGCCAATGCACAAGGCTTTGGATGATTTTTGGAGGAGGTTGTTGGTTATGAGTTGTTGGAAGAATTTGACGAAAACTGGGATCTTGCGGTTCCAGTCGCGGGTTGTCCATATTTTGCGGAGTTTTGGGTTGAGAGTTTTGTTGAGTTGGCGTTGTATGTAGGTTTCGTAGGATGTGTATCCGGGTCGGATTTTTAGACCGGTCGTGGTGGTGGTGGTGGTGGTGGTTGTAATTATGGGTGGTTGGTAAGAGAAGAGATGGAGGAAGAGAAGAGGAAGGGAGAGAAAAAGAGAGATGAGAAAACAACGAAGAATGAATGGTTTTGTTAATGTGAATTTCATGTCCTTGTGTGTATAGACTCAGATGAGAAAAAAATGGGCATTATGTTCTGGTTTTGTTATGGGAAAAATAGAGAGAGATTGAAGAAAAAAAAGAGAGGAAGAAACGAAATGGCAAAGACAGAAAAGGCATAGTGGAGATTGCGTTTATAGTTGGCATAAGATTAAGGATTTAAGCGTCCCTCACTTTCATTAAAATAATAAAATGTTAATTATCCATCAATGGCATAAAACATGCTACATTGATTGATAAAGTATCAAATGGGTCTGATCTTTACCCAACAAGTTAATTATGTGATCAATATTTTTGACATATATAACCATGATTTTATAGGAAAAGTAGACAACAAGACAGACAAAGAGATTAATGGAGTGAACTAATATAGATTATGTGCGTCTTTTTTTTTTCTTTTTACAAATACAAGGAATCATATGTTAATTTTAAAAATAATATTATTTATCTTAAATATGGTCAAATTAAAAGTTCATAAATTTATTATTTCGTTCATCATTTTTAGTTATTTTAATTATAAAAATAATCTTTAATTTTTTTCAACATCACATTTCTATTGTTAGCGTGATTCTAAATTTTAATTAATTTGAAAAAAAATTAATATTCTTTAGGAGAACTTCTTTTATATAATTTTTTGTATTCAATTTTATATTTTAAAATTATTCAATAAAAATTAACATTTCTTTCACAAATTTTAATTTAGTTTATTTTATATCTTTATTATTTAGTAAAAACAAAGTTTTCTCCACTAACTTGTTAATAAATTCTAACTTTTTCTTAATAATTATATTATTTTTTAATTATCATATTTTTATTAAATACCACTAACTTTTGATATTATCTTTAATTATTTAATTTAGTGAAACTAACATTTCTTACACTAACTTTCTAAAAAATTCTAACTTTTTCTTACTTATATATTCTATTTTATGATTACCATATTATTATTGGGATATTTTATATAAAGTTTTTTACAAAATAAATACATTTTTGTTCATGTTATTTTATTATTTCTCATAACAAAGTGACTTCTCCTTTATATATTTTTATTGTTGCTTTTAACATTTTATTAATAATATATTTTTATTATATTTTTTAATCATCCTAATTTTACTAGACAAATATTTTATATATTTTTATTAATTTGTTGATTAATTTTGAATATTCATTTTTTGTAAATATTTTATAATATATTTTTTTTAATTTACTAATTTATAAATATTAATAATTTATTTACATTAATATATAAATATAAATTAAATACATCGGCCAAAGATTAAACCATAGATTAGTTAATTATGCACATTTCACTTAATTATCACATATCAATGAGCTACCATCCTCACCTTTTAACATTTATTTATTTTATTATTATTATTATTTCTATTTCAATTTTTCATCCATATTTTTTCAATATTTGCATATCTGATTTTCAAAACTCAATTTAAGAAGACGTTTTTTTGCAAGATCTAGGTATTCAAACACCCATTTACAAATTTTAAAGGATTAGTCGGATGATTAAACAATCTTTGATTTTCCTGTTGTTTGATTGTCTGCTTCAAAAGAGAAAACTTTAAAATTTAAGATATCATTCAAGCTAAATAAGCTCATTTATATATCACTCAAAATAATTTTATTTTATTATTTAATAAATATTTATTAATCTGATATATCATATAATTAATTAAAAATTTATAGTGCAACAGAATATATAATAATAATTGATTAAATTGTAAAATTATTTTATACTATAAATTTATATCCTATTTTCTCTTTATATATGTTATATATTTGTACTGACCTTGACTTAATCTATATTTATTTAAAATTTACGATATTTATATAGTATTTTTTAAATTAATTAACATATTGGTAAGTTATTTCTAAATCATGTTTTTTTCCTTTCAAATAATTCTTTTATAAGTAAACTAATATATATCAATAGAGAGTATTAAAAGTACTCCAACCCAATAAACAAAACTCACCACAAACAATTCCAACTCCAATTTTTAATTTATTTTTATTGATTCTTCGTTTAAACGGTAAATATAGAAAATCATTTAACATTCATTCTTTAAGATACATATTTATATTTTTTTATTTTTCATCAGAAATTTCATTCATTATAATTTTGACAAGATATGTATAAAATTTAAGATTATATAACTATGACTTTTATTTTATTTTTGATTAATTAAAATATTATAGTTACATTTATTTAAGACTATGATTAGTTATTGAGAAAAAGGGTGATAGCCTAAAAGTGTAAATTAATTTTATACTTTTAATCAATAATGATTATACATTTCACAAAATTAAATTAAAAATTTTAAATTATTTATGACATGACAGAATAATGTATATTTATTGGATGACACTATCGTTAAACCTTTAGTTTTATATATATTCCTACTATAATTTTATTTTATACTTATTAGTTATTGAAATTAACTTCATGTACCTCACATCGTGAAATATTAGTTATTACACTACTACAAAACACATAAACAATAATGCTACAGTAACAATAGTTACCTATTTATTATAGTAATATGTGATATTTAGGAGTGTGTATTTTTTTTAAATTAAAATACTTTTAATTACAATTAAAATTCCAACTGTGGTGAAAAGTGAGGCCTTTTACTATGGTTATTTAAAAAACTATGATTATAGGTAGCGTATGGCCATGGGTTCAAGTATCAACATTTTTGGTTTTTTATTTATTTTTTTATTAAAAAAATTGATTATAGGTAGCGTTTTTTTACTTATTTTTTCAAAATGTTGACAGACATTTCACCACGGATATTTAAAAAACCGTGATTATAGGTAGCGTCTGATCATGGATTCAAGTCCTAACACCAATATTTTTGGTTTTTTACTTATTTTTTCAAGTCTCGGCACCAACATTATATGTGATGCGCTTATTGAGTTTATTCACTGTCCTTAAACAAATCTTGACCGTTCATTTAGTGATTATCAATGGTCAAGACACTACTATTAGTGATCTGCGTGAAACCTAAAACTTAGACGAACTACATCTTCTACCTCCAAACATCACCTTTCATTTACGATATTCTATTTCTCCACTAAACCAAACTCGAAAACAATATTTTTTTCATAAACAAAACTCGAAAATATCATTTCTTTCATTAACAAATTTTAGAACTCCATCATCTCTTTTACAACTTGAATGAGACAAGGAAAATATGGATTCGAGTTAGCAATGTTATGTTGTTGGTGCTCTTTTTTTATTATTATTGTTCTTGTTGTTATTATTGTTGTTCTTGTTGTTGTTTTTGTTCTTCTTATTGTTGTTGTTCTTGTTCTTATTTTTGTTGTTTTTGTTGTTGTTCTTATTGATGTTCTTGTTGTTGTTCTTGATGTTGTTGTTGTTCTTGTTATTCTTGCACTTGTTCTTGTTCTAATACTGCGATTTTTTTTTAAGTTTTATTAAAAGACATACAACAACGGTTATTTAAAATAATCGTGATTATAGATAGTTATAATGCTGTATTTTTTTAATTTTATTAAAAGACATACAATAACGGGTATTTAAAATAACTGTGATTATAGGTAGCGTGCTTTCCAGTTTATTACAACGGTTACTGGGTCGTGATTGTAAGTATCATATATACAACGACACTCTACATAACAACGTCTGGGCCCGCGTGATTATATATTTTTTTCCAACGGTTAGTTAAATGGGTTTTCTATAGTAGTGTTAGTAGTGATATCAACTTTAAATAAATTATTTAGTAAAAAGAGTTTTAAGTTAATGTATATAATCTTTTATAAATAAGAAATTCATTATAAAAAAATAAAGCAATATTTATTTATTTTTATTAAATAATAATAAACTGACGTTGAACAACATGTCAAAATTATAAAGAAAAAGCAATGTCAAACAATTTTTCAAAAGATAAAGTAAATAATAAAAATAAAGTTGAATAAAAATTGATGGAATAAACATAAACATATGAGTGAATGTTTTTTTTCTTTTCTCTAAAAGTCAATATACTGAAAGAAAAGAAAGAAACGAAAAGAGAAGATTAGGTCAAAACTCTTAACAAAATTAAGTAAACTTAAAGTTAGGCAAACCTAACAATTAAGAGGGGACCAAGGGTAAGAGGCGTTAACCTAAGGTAAGGGAAACCAAACAAAAAGAGTCCTTCTTTGGCCAACAAGTCAACAAAGGCTATAGATTCCCTAAATGCATGAGTGACAAAGACGTCTATGCCCTAGTGAGAGTTTGACAATTGCTTCAACGAGGTCTAAGATGTCGAGGAACAAGGACTTTGAGTTGAAAGCATAAATCACTAAGGCTGAGTCAGTCACCAACCAAATGTTACGCCATTTATTGGAGTGAGCAAGCTCAATGGCACGAATTGCACCAACCAACTCAGTAAAGAAGGTAGATTGATCTCCAAGATTCTCCACAAAGCAACAAACTCGACATCACTATTTCTAAACAGACATCCACAGGATGAGGAAGAATATGTGGTTGTTGTTCGAACTGCAGTAAAGCAACAAGAAGTAAAAATTTAGATTTGGAAGGATTTTCTCTGGAATTTATGTCGTCTCCACTGAGATCGGTGCGAGGAAAGAATACCGTTCAACGGTCTCTATATTTCTAAGCTTGTTGTGAAAATTTGTTGAAAGATCAAATTACAATAGATAAAAGCAGAAAATATAAAGACGGAAAATATAAAGTAAAGACTTAAAATATAAACGGAGCCTTGTTGCGATTGAATCTCATTAATTGATAACACATGCATTCTTCTACCCAATTAAACATAAATCAATCATTCGTCTGATATCCTCACGCATCACCCACAACACAGATTATGTCTAACACAACATTGAGAAAACAACCTTATTGTCTCATTGGTGATGTCTCACGCAACTCAATAATACAAAGCATTAAGAGCTGATACTCAAGCAAATGTTAAGCCTAAATCTATGTCTAGAGTCTAGAACCTAACAAATAATC